AAATGTGGGGACACCTTCAATATTTTTTCACCTGAACCCTCTCTTGTTGAAAACACCCGTCATCTGGTTGATGTTATCCTGCAGACTGGCTGGCAAAAACGTGTGATAGCTATGACGCTTATCTCACACTAATGACTGGGACTTAGGTTTCTTAGAGTGGCTGGGGGCTGTCGAGAGCCGCGGTCATTTTTGCGCATGCATAATTGTAGTTTGCAGCGAGGTGAATCTACTGAGCCTAGATTTCTTCGCCTTCCTATTCGAGTAGTGAAAAGGTTTTTTAGCCTGCTGCTGCCAATGTCATCAGCTGTCGTACGAACAATCGCTAGATAAAAGTTGTTGCAATACTCTACAGTGACGCAGTTCCCACAGCAGTGCGCGCATGTAGCGGGCGTATATACGGAGCATGCGCGCGTGGAGGAGGTGGTTTCGAGCGCCTGCGCTGTGATACGCATGCGCGGAAATTGTGGAGGGTCGGGTCCCGTCGTCGTGTGCGCGCAAGATAAAAGAGCGCCGAACTACGGTCTTTTTTCAGAACTTGCAGCAGGCAAAAGAGAAAAAGTCAATGGCAGTAAACATCGTTGCTGTTTTGCCCCGTACGGGAGCAATTGTAAGTTAGCTAGTTTGTTCGCGCGCGGGATTGCGACATCTCTTGTATTAGGTACTAGCAGTTGTTCCTTATTGTGTCTGCCGCCACCATTGGAGTCATTAACAACAATGAAGGACTTCGGGAAGTTCGGGATTATGATGGTACGTAGCTTCGCCATTCGCTGATCTCCGTCCGTTTTATGATTTTGCAGGTCCAACGACAGGCATAAGTAGTTTTGAGGAGCTCCAGGAACTCATTATCTCCACGCAAGATTCTGCAATCTGGCTTATTATAATGAGTATCGGCATCGTGATCGCGGAAGCCATCGCCATCGTAATAATTATTATCATAGATCTCCAGCCGAATGGGAAAAATATCGTTGGAATCCTGGTATATAATAGCTACGGTATTACGAAGCGTATATCATATTTCTTTTTAGCTTCTGTTTGTTTCTTGTTGTTGTTTTTTTGCTTGTCTATTGTATCGTTTACTTTTTTGGCCTTTGAGGTTTTTTCTGTCTTGTTAAAAAAAAAGAAGAAAAAAAAATCTTTTCGCAATGCAGGAGATATTCTTCAGCGTTCGGGTGATTCTGTCCTACTTCGGAACTGGAATTGCCTCCGCCGCGTATGCTGCAGCGTGGGGTGCTCCACCGGACCTATGCGAACCTGCGGAAACCGTAGTCGACGATCCGTGCGATAGGAAGCCACTCACTGCAACCACTGCACTGCAAGCTGTAAGTCGGTCCAAGAAAGCAACATTTGGCGGAGTAATCCCCCGCGGCTAGTATATAGTGTTGGTGGAGGGTGAGCGAATAGGCGCCCCAGGCCAGACCCGCCGAAAATTAGTTTCTCCTGAAAAGGTTTTCTCTGGTCCGAAACCGACAGAAGGAACGATAACTATAGAAGAACCACGTCTGGCGCGCTATGCCGCATTTTTGCAACTTTCATTCTGTTTCTGGAATTTCTAGGTGTTTTGCTTCATCCAAATCGGAGTATTTGGAGTCATTGTTGTGTTGACAATACTTGGAATCATGAAGAGCAGATCTGAGCCAAAAGCCTGAGGAAAACACAGAAGAGACTAAGAATAATGACTTTGACACTGACAGTATATAGGGTTTTCTTAGCTATACTTAGGTTTTATGGTTTGATTATTAGCAATATAGAAGTGTAGAATAACAGTTTTTTTTGCTAGACCCGACATTCATGGTCAATGCAGGCACAAAAGTCACCTAATACAGCATCGGCGCGCAAAAACTCAAGCACAACTAGGGAGCATTCCATGTGGTCTACGTATCTCGCATACCCAATCCAGTGTTGCTCTAAAAACCACACTTGTGCAGCTAGACTGTGTTGACTGGCTCCGTTGATACACACAGCGCGCTGAATATCGCCTTCAAGTGGGGGCGCGCCGGCGTGGATGAGCGGGCGCATTTACTTACAATATAGCTAGCGTCGAAACAGGCTTTCTATAGACCCTTCTCCCTCCTCGGTCACGCGCGCATGTTCGTGGATGCGCGCGTGGAGGAGGTATATAGAAAGTCTGGTTCAATAATGCCTATTTGTTTCCTACACTGTTGCATTAACTTCCACCCAGCCTAACACAGACACAATTTTGTTCTGGTGGCGGTATAGCTCTGGCTCTCACAGTATACTGTAGTACATCCATGATACTACCACAAGACTTTTTTTCTTCACGATTACGTGTTATTGATTCTGTTTGTACAAGGGCACCAATACAGGACAGACACAGAAGCATCGAAAACAGAAAAAAGAACCGGCCAACCATAGGATAAGGAACAAAAAACAAGTAAGAGAAAAAAGGACAAAAAACACAAAACAACACAAACAAGTAAGTCAAATTACACCATCTAAAGAGGGGGCGAGTTGTGGACGACGGTGAAACCAGGCGGATGCATTTCCCCTCCAGAGAGATGACGAGTCGATTCAACCGGAGAGAAGTTTGCTTTTGGGCCAGCACCCGATAATACTACCTGATAATACACCCTATGTAGTTGTGGATGTAACCACGTACGCACACAGTTACGAGATCTAATGCTGCCACAGTAATGACTCCTTACACCAACATGTTTTGTCGGGAGCATCCAGTACCATACTCTGGTTGGACACTCCTTTCAGGCACTCCCTCACTCAGCTTTTAATACTCAGATTACAGTTCTTCAAGGGCCAGGAGGTGGGTTTAAAATCAACAGATGCAGGTACATACACAGCAAAGCACTTCACATTCCCGGCGGACGGCACACACAGAGTTGTGTACTTGTCACTGACACATACACACACCATTGTAAGGTATCCCCTTCAATGCACACAATGCACCCAAATTGGCTGAGATCTCAGATGACTGCTTGTACAACAGGCAATTTTCCCTTCATAGGGAGGAGGTTGTCCTCTCTTTGGAGATTATACCACGTAGAGCAAAAGAAACATTCGGGTCCACAAAGTGTGCCCTTTAGTGAGAGTGTATTCCGAGTGTCCTTTATCAGGTTCTATTGGCGAGCGGGAGCGAGCCAACCGAGTGGTACGAACGGCGCGGAATTTTCCTCATACGACGACCGTACGTCGTCCAACTGCGCATGCTCCAGGATTACGCGCTTCTTTGGATTTCAACATTCTCACATGCGACCTGCCCTGTCATAATGTCGTGCATGTCGCGCATGCAGGCGGTGAATACGCGTGTGTGTAGCTCTGTACTCTCGCACTCATGGATCAGTCCAGAGAAGATGCCCTTCGTCGTCGAAGAGAGAGGGAAAGAGAACGTCGTGCCCGTGAGACTCCTGAGCAGAGAGAGGCTCGTCTGTAGTATCAGCGTCGCTTTGCTCACCGTTCTGCCAATGTACAGTACGCGTGTAACGGCGACAGGTGGATCTGTCTTGCTTCACGAAGAAAGCTGTGCGCTGACGGCGTTATGCAGCCCGAAAATCCCAAGTTGGGTCGCTCCCCTCTCGCCAACAATGCATAACGTACGGAGCATGCGCGCGTGGAGGAGGCGGAAGAGAGGCCCCCCCACCAACAACACGCCTGCGCTGTGATACGCATGCGCGGAAAAATGTAGCGGGGGCCGGGTCGCGCTCGCGTCGTCGTGTGCGCGCAAGATAAAAGAGCGCCGATCTACGTTCTTTTTTCAGAAAAGAACTTGCAGCAGGCAAAAGAGAAAAAATATAATAATAGTCAATGGCAGTAAACATCGTCGCTCTTTTGCCCCGTACGGGAGCAATTGTAAGTTATATAGCTAGCTTTTACTTTGTTCGCGCGCGGGATATTGCGGCATCTTCTTGTAGGTACTAGCAGTTGTTCTCCTTATTGTGTCTGCCGCGACCATTGGAGTCATTAACAACAATGAACAACTTCGGGAAGTTCGGGATTATGATGGTACGTAGCTTCGCCATTCGCTGATCTCCGTCCGTTTTATGCTTTTGCACATTTTACAGGTCCAACGACAGGCAATACTCTTATTGAGGATGTTGTGGAGCTCCAGGGACTCATTGTTTTAACGCAAGATTCTGCAGCCTGGCTTATTGTAATGAGTATCGGCATCGTGATCGCGGAAGCCATCGCCATCGTCCTAATTATCATAGATCTCCAGGGGAATGGGAAACTTATCGTTGGAATCCTGGTATAGCTAGCTACGGACGGTATTACGAAGCGTACGTAATTCATATTTCTTTTCGCAATGCAGGAGATAATCTTCAGCGTTCTGGTGATTCTGTCCTACTTCGCAACTGGAATTGCCTGCGCCGCGTATGCTGCAGCGTGGGGCGCTCCACCGGACCTATGCGAACTTGCGGAAACCGTCCTGGACGATCCGTGCGATAGGAAGCCACTCACTGCAACCACCGCACTGCAAGCTGTAAGTCGATCCAAGGAAGTCGCGGAGTAATCCCCCGCGGCTAGTAATGTTGGTGGAGGGTGCACGAAAAATAGGCGTCCCAGACCCGCCGAAAATTAGTTTCTCCCGAAAAAGATTTTCTGGTCTGAAACCGATAGTGCCATCTTCAGGAAAGGACTATAGAAGAACCACGTCTGGCGCGCTATGCCGAATTTTTACAACTTTCATTCTGTTTTTGGAATTTCTAGGTGTTTTGCTTAATCCAAATCGGAGTGTTTGGAGTGATTGTTGTGTTGACAATACTTGGAATCGTGAGGAGCAGATCTGAGTCAAACTCGGAAGAGACCAGAAGACTTGACTATAAGACTTGACTATAAGATTTTGTGTAGATAGGGTTTGATTATTAGGCTGTATGAAAGCGTGTATATTTTTGCTTATTATGCTGGACCCGACAAATGCAAGCACAAAATATCATACTGATGCGCGCACCGGCGTGAATGCGCTTGCGCAGGGAAATAATAATATTAGGCCTGTTTGTTTTCCTATAAGTTGCGTGTATATAATCTCAGTGAAACCCCCACCCCAGCCTGGCACAAACACAAACATAGTATAATTATATGTAGCTATAACTTTGTTTGGTGGTCCTGAGGGTAGCTAATAGCTACATCCACCAGTTTTGACTCTCATGTACTGCGGTGCATGAACTGATGAACATACTACCTGATCATTACATAGGGGGTGATTTTTGTGGAGTGTAACCACACAGATAAGAAAATGTTGCAGTCTTGCTTACACCAACACTTGTTTTGTCATGGGAGCATCCAGTAGCATACTCTCTGGTTGGACACTCCATTGACTCCAAGTTGACACATCCAGCTGCTCCCAAACACTCAGTATATTTCCCACCTTAGCTGCAAACCACAGTCCTGTCAACAAATGCTCAATCAAAAGGCGGTTTACATAAACAAACTGTAAAAATGCCAGTTTCAGTATTAGAGATATAGGGCATCGTGTTGAAGGTGCATGTTTTCAGTATCTCTTTCTTCTCATAATCTCAGGTTTCCAAACAATTGGATGAGACTCTTCAGTCTATGGGGAAAAGAGATCACAATAATAATCAAAATGAAATTGAAAGAAGTAAACAAAATGCTGCATGCTAACTGTACTCTGAAATTGCCATGAAAAAAAGAGTAACAAACAATGCTAATTCTTTCGTATGCTGACCACACTATGAAAGTAGCACCAAAAACTAGGAAAAAGGGTTGACAAACACTCTACTAACACCTCTGTATGCTAACCACAGTGAAACGTCATTACGCAAAAAAACTGGAAGGTGCCGCGATGCGTGTCTCCGCTCACCACAGTGTCGTCCTCTTTGTAAATCTTGATTGTCTTGTCGGCCTCGGCAGTGAGGAGTCTGCAACCACTCACGTCAAACAGACACTTGAAGATGCCGGCCTCGCTGTCCAGTGACCCTGGCTGCACCGTGGTCTGGTGTTTCTGAAAGTTGTAGCCAGTTTTCCAGTCCCAGAAGTGAAGGCTCCCATTGTCCCCTGCAGTGCAGTGCACAAGGCAAGAACACTAGCAAGTGTGTGTACACAGTAGAAGAGCAATAAGCTGCAAGGTTATTTTCTGTCTAAAACAACTTCAACCCTATCTAAGTAAGGGTAAAGTATAAACACTTCTGCAGGTATAGACACTTATCTGTGTGTGTTTTGTACAGTGTCAGGACTCTTTGATATTGAGTATGAAAAGCAAACCCTTGGCGAACTGCGCATGCGCAATACCGCTAATGAATGGGCTGGGCTATTGGCTAGTAGTTCGCGGAGAGTCTGACACGGGCTAGATACGGTAGTAGATAGCATGCGGGAGTCGATACACACCCTTCACTGTGGCTTCATGTGCCTCCAAGGTACACAGAGCAAGCGGGTCAGGTCGAGGTGAGCCAGCATACTGCGTCGATCGCGTCTAATACACGCATGCGCACCGCTTATTGATGGGTTGGGCCACGCAACGCTGTCCGCGACCGTGCCAGTTTGTCGCTCTCGAACGCAGTCGTTTCGGCAAAATCGCCATTTTACTTTTCTAGCCCCTGTACCTTTAAAGCTGTTGGTATCGCTCATAAGCCGCCTCGTTGCCTGTAGTGCGAGAATAGTCGTAGACACAGACAGACAGACACACACAGAACAACCCTCGCTGCGCATGCGCGCCGAGGGTTAATTATCATTAGGTCTCAAGAACATCACATACAGGAAGATTTACTGTATACACCACAAAATCAACAAAATCAACACATAAAATACTCTCCAAATGTAACTGGAGCGATGGTGGTAAAATAACATCTCTTGAACATGAGCACTCAATAACACTGATAGATTATGTATGTAGCCAGTGGGGTTACATTTATCTCTGAGATCTTCAATCTAAACATAACTGGCGCACGTAATCCAACAGTATTTCTACATACAGCACTCGTGTGTGTATATATATAGTGACTTGTTTCTTGTGCTTTTGCCTTTCTATCTTATTAGTTCACACATACATACATACCTCCAGAGACAAGGACCCCATCAGAGTTTATTGCCAGTGTGTTGACTATTGACTGGTGGCCAGTGAAGTTTTGCAAGAAATTCCCGTCGGGTAGCTTCCATATCTTTATGTTGTCTGGAGACCCGCTGGCAAAACAAAACCTGAGAAATGGAGTCTAAGATGCAACTGCAGACAGTTTTTTTTTATACTGATGCGATGAAAAGATTATCTTAAGGTGGTAAATGGGAAGGCAGGTATTGACTTTGCTTTTTTGTTCTTTACTTTTGACAAGCGGCTATCTCAAAAACCACATCATCAAGAGGTAATGACCACAAAGATTGGAATCCATGACAGGTCGTGCAAGACAGCTATACCATAGGTTGGGCTTCACACAACTCTTTATCAGTCGGTTAAAGGGAATGTGGCAGTATATAAGGGCTAAATTACCAAATATAGAACAAAACAATAGGGGCACAGTGAAAGAATACAATTGAGTTCCGTTTTTAGTATAATATAGCATTTCTAAATTTAGCCCTTATATACTGCCACATTCCCTTTAATAGTGCACTGTGGTGTGTTTGTTGTAGTAGTATCAGCTGACTCTGTAGGGTGCATGAAGAGGGCTCTGATGCTCTTCTTGTGGTTGGTGAGGACGGCCTTCGTCTTGCCAGCTGCCACAGACGAACGGTGCAGTCATGACTCCCTGTCACCACCTGTGTTCCATTTCACACAGTCTCACTTCACGGACATGGAATGACAATCGGGGTGTTTTTAAAGCTCTCTGTGTTCCATTTCACACAGTACATTCACGGACGTGTGCTAAAACCGACCCTGCAATACCTCTAACTTCCCCTTCTTACATTACAGTCCAACTTCATACATAGATGCTGGAATAAACTAACTATCAGGGTGTTTTTAAAGGGGAGAGAAAACAACTCTCGGTAAAGCTAAACTTCAACAAGTCATGCAGGTTGTGTTTGTAGAAAGTTCCCTTTATTCAACAGCGTATCTGATACTAACGTATTAGTATAGGGCAGTATAACATGAGGTTTACTTTTTCAGAGGTTTCACTGTACATTTACAGCATATATATACCTGAGGATTGGGTGCTTGTGTCAGAATATCAGCCACTGTGTTGGTGTGTCCACCGAGGGTGTGAATGCAGGCTTTTGTCCGCATGTCCCACACGCGAGCCGTGGCGTCCCTGCCTCCAGTCAGGAGGACGTCGATGGTCGGGTGGAGGGACATGCAGTAGACACCACTCAGGTGACCGTGGTAGTGACGGACCACTTGCAAACCAACACACAGCTGATACTACGACACACAGTATATAGCTACACAGTGGAAACCCCCCAATCCAGGCACCAATGAGAAGTGTAGGGGTTAAATTGAACTGTTCTTGGGGGAAAGAAAAGGTGTCCTTAGTAGTTAAGGTGTCCTCGCTTTAGGGGTTAATTTGCATTCAAGAACCTCACGTTCTTGGGGAAAGAAAAGGTATCCTTAGTTTATAGAGGTGTCCTCATTACAGGAGTAAGGGTTCCACAATAACAGTTAGGGCTCGTTCAATAATGTGGTACTGCAATGATAAAGTCAAGCTAGGTAAATAATGCACTGCGGTTCGTTGCATTCGTTCTAGTGCCTGACCTTGTTGTACTCGAGGTCCCAGCACTTGACCTGTTTGTCTTCCCCGGCAGAGAAGAGGTAGGGCTGACGGTGGCTGACTGTGAGGGCCCGGACTGCACTGATGTGGCCAGTGAGGGTCAGCTTCAGTCGACCTGATGCAAGCTCCCACAACTGCAATACAAGACCCAGAGAAAGAGAGAGAGAGAGGGGGGGCGGGGCATTCACTAGGCAAGATAGCTGAACACATTAAATCTGCTTGGTCATTTTGTTGAAGCATTTTCCCTGGAATAATACAAATTTGAGGCAGTTTGCTGCCTGTTAACACTTTGAACCATATTCTATGTAATGTTAGACCGCAGTCACGCGCAATTGACCAATCAGATTACAGAATTGCGGGGGGTTTATTTTTCATAGACACCTCGTTTCAGGTGTCTAATGGCGTTTGCAGGTGGTCTACAGCAAACTCCCCGTACAAAATGGCTATTCTCAAAAGTCGTTATCTGCGCAAACCGGCCGATTCCGCGTTCGGTATATGTAAGCGTAGAAGGCGCGACTGGCAAAGTAGCTCTTTTAAAATGCGTAGTGCACCTGCAAGAAGTCTGTGGACAGTCTCCGGAGCTCGCGAAAGTCAGAAATCACGTCAATATTCCACGAAAAAGCGTCGGCTTCTTCAGCTCTGGCGATACACAAACACATTGGGCCGTTGCCGTGCGTTGCTAACCCTTTCAAACGCGCACCACCAATGAGGGCGTTTTATGATGACGTAAACGAATTTTTTTGTAGGCATGGAGTAAAAAGACCTGTTTTTTTCTCGGAAATATTTCTTTTTCCTAATGGTTTCACTCACTTTTTAAGGGGCCATGGGGGAAAGGGGAAAATAAAACCACGCCCACACACACCTTGATGGTTCTATCGCTGGATCCAGTGGCAAACCACTCGTTCCCTGGCTCCATGGCGATGCATCGTACCCAGCCGAGATGGCCGCTGAGGACCCTCATCAGTTTCCACGGAGGGTGCCACTCTGGCCGCACCGTCTGGAGCGCCCGGCGGGGGACCAGCTGCTGAGTCCCCTTGCTCAGGACCAGGGTCTGGGGATTGGGGAGGAGAACAACAAGCACGGAGCGGGGAGAGAGATAAAGACCAATTAGTTTAGGGGTGTTTTGGGACCATTTTTACACTACTGAGTGTATAGATGCACATTGTTTGCAGTAATCATGTGACTTGTGTCTAGTTCCTCATTGCTACATAGGGGCAATTAAAAGTAGACCATCACACAAGTTGTTTTGTATAATATACTTGTGAAGGAAGGCCAATTCGATCCTTTCCAGCATGTTCATAGATGTCTCCAACATTGGCACCAGTAGGACTGTATGGTATAGCACACAGAGAGAGAGAGAGAGAGAGAGACATTACGTCCGAGCTCAAACAAAACACAACTGCACTGCAAGCTGTAAGTTTGTGCGGGGTCTAGTTATTCCCCGTGACTAAGAGTCGTGGAGTGGACGCGCTATGCCTCGTAAAGATAACTGTAATTGGGACACTTTGCATTCAAATTTATACATTTCTGGAATTTCTATATAGGTATTTTGCTTCATCCAAATCGGAGTGTTTGGAGTCATTGTTGTGTTGACAATACTTGGAATCGCGAGGAGCAGATCTGAGTTAAAAGCCTGAGGAAAATGCCGAAGAGAGACTAGAACTGTAGGATTTTCTTAGCTACAGAACTTCATGCTAGATTTTGATCCTGAATCATTATTAGCCTGTATGAAAGCAGTATAGAAATGTTGGTAACATCATATTTTTTAATCAGCACAAGCTAAAAAATCTTCACCTAATATAATATACATATAGCTATACTAATGCAATATGTGCTTATATTATGGAACTCGCACACACTGTTTTATGGGTGAGAAACTGCTCCAGGTGATGCAAACAGGCCTGCACACATAATACTTTTGAAAGGCACTGCATTAAGACATACAATTCAGCTGCACTAACTGCTGTGTATCGTCAGCTTTACTATTCATTTTTTGACTCTGTGCCCAGGCAATGTGCTCCCAACTATTATACTAACAGGGATTACACTCATCTTGTATCTTTGCTAATAATCTGGCCCAACCTGTGTGAAAGCAATGTCCGTTTCAGTATAAGAGCCAGGGAATTAAGAGTAAGAGCCACATTTTCTATGTGAATGAAAAAATATACATTAGTGAAACACTGCTTCAAACTGCAGCTCTTATACAAACATCAGTCCACCCACCACCGCCTCATTTTCTCTGTAAATTGAAGGGCCCTGCAGTAAGCAATGTATATACCAGAAAAAATAACATAGCAAAAACCATGCATTAATGCAGCTAGGAACTATCTGTGTATATAGGACTCATTTACCAACAACGTGGGCACAAAAACACCCAACTTCGAGACATTTGCATTTCACACAGAAGCTCTCAGTCATTTGGCTGTACATATTGGCCAATGTGTCTATTTTACAGACAAGGACCTCAGAGTTAATCTAGTGCATATTGACTAGAGTAGAGTTCGGCATGCATCTATTCCAATCTGGCAGCTTCACCTCGCACGTAGCCAGAAAAATGTGAGAGGACACCTTCAATATTTTTGCACCTGAGCCCTCTCTTGTTGAAAACACCTGTCCTCTGTCCTCTGCAGACTGCCTGGCAAAAAACGTGTGTAGTTTGCAGCGAGGGGAATCTACTGAGCCTAGATTCTTCGCCTTCCTAAAGGGTTTTTAGCCTGCTGTCAATGTCATCAGCTGCCGTATGAAAAAAACGGTAGATAAAAGTTACTATACAGTGACAGTTCCCACAGCCATGCGTGACAAAAAGTGCACGCATGCGCAAATATTACGTAACGATAATTATTCAGGCGTGTCTATATATAGCGTACGGAGCATGCGCCCGTGGGGAGGGCCTGGCGCGCGCGCGCGTACGCCAACACGCCTGCGCTGTGATACGCATGCGCGTAAAATTGTGGAGGGGTGTACGTACGTACCGGGTCGCCATGCGTGTGTGCGCGCAAGATAAAAGAGCACCGAACTACGTTCTTTTTGTCAGAAAAGAACTTGCAGCAGGCAAAAGAGAAAAAATATATAGTCAATGGCAGTAAACATCGTCGCTCTTTTGCCCCGTACGGGAGCAATTGTAAGTTAACTAGCTTTTACTCTGTTCGTGCGCAGGATATTGCGGCATCTTTTTGTAGGTACTAGCAGTTGTTCTCCTTATTGTGTCTGCCGCAACCATTGGAGTCATTAATAACAATGAAGGACTTCGGAGAGTTCGGGATTATGATGGTACGTAGCTACGCCATTCGCCGATCGCCGACATGTTTATACTTTTGCAAATTTTTCAGGTCCAACGACAGGTATTTTTGAGGATGTTGCGGAGCTCCAGGCGCTCATTCTCTCCACGCAAGGTTCTGCAGCCTGGCTTATTGTAATGACTATCGGCATCGTGATCGCGGAAGCCATCGCCATCGTCCTCATTCATTATCATAGATCTCCAGGGGAATGGGAAACTTATCGTTGGAATCCTGGTATAGCTATATATATACGGTATTACGAAGCGTATGTCATTCGTATTTCTGTTCGCCATGCAGGAGATAGTCTTCAGCGTTCTGGTGATTCTGTCCTATTTCGCAACTGGAATTGCCTCCGCCGCGTATGCCGCCGCGTGGAGCGCTCCACCGGACGCATGCGAAATTTCGGAAGACATCCCGGACGGCCCGGACGATCCGTGCGATAGAAAGCCACTCACTGCAACCACCGCACTGCAAGCTGTAAGTTGGTAACATTTAGCGGAGTAATCCCCCGCGGCTGGTGGAGGGTCCGCGAATACGCTGCATGGCGTCGCTAAACCGCAGACCCGCTGAAAATTAGCTTCTGCTGAAAGAAAAGGATTTTGTCTGGTCCAAAGAAGGGAGCTCAAGAACCACGTTTGGCACGCAATACCGCATTCTTACAACTTGCATATTGTTTCTGGAATTTTTCTATATATAGGTATTTTGCTTCGTCCAAATCGGAGTGTTTGGGGTCATTGTTGTGTTGACAATACTTGGAATCGTGAGGAACAGATCTGAGTCAAAAGCCTGAGGAAAACGCCGAAGAGACCAGAAGACTGACTATAGAATTTTGTTTAGGGTTTGATTATTAGGCTGTATGAAAGCGTGTATATTTGTGGTTATTATGCTGGACCCGAAGCACAATCATACTTATGCGCTCGCGCGGCGCGCGGCGGCGTGAATACGCTTGCGAAGGTTAGGCCGCGGGCCGGCTAGCTAGCTGTTGTTAACCCTCGGCGCGCATGCGCAGCGAGGGCTACGGTAGTTGTGTCTGTCTGTGTTACTCTTCATCTCACTTCTCGAGTGGTTAGTCTCACAAAGGATACCACCTACTGAACGGGCAATGAAGGTAAGAAATTTCGAACGGTTTTCTCTGAAAACGCTCCGTTGCAAAGCTAAAGCGTTGGTGCTTTCCATTTTCAATCTCAGTGAAACTCCCACCCCAGCCTGACACAAACACAAACATAGTATAATATTATGCAGCTATAACTTTGTTTGGTGGTCCTGAGGGTAGCTAATAGCTATATACATCCACCAGTTCTGACTCTCATGCAGTACTGCGGTGCATGAACTGATGAACATACATACTACCTGATCATTACAGGGGATGATTTTTGTGGAGTGTAACCACACAGATAACAGATCTAAGAAGTCTTGCTTACACCAACACATGTTTTGTCATGGGAGCATCCACTCTCTGGTAGGACACTCCAAGTTGACACATCCAGCTGCTCCCAAACACTATTATCTTACAGTAGCTATTTCCCCCCTTAGCTGCAATACACAGGCTGTGCAGAGTAGTTCTTTGGAAAGCCTGGGAGGTAAGCTCCTACTTTCCAAACCATCAGATTTTAAGGCAATGCAGATAGTGTGTGGAGGAGTGGGGGCCGTTGTTACAGAGAATCTGCAGTCTTATTACAACAAGAATCATCTCTAGCTGGAGTAGTCAGTACTCCTCACAATACTGAAAAAATTCCCTATACTACTGATGACCCACTGTAGGAGTACCCACATCCTGGGGTTAAAATTACCATGTAGGATTATATACTAGCAGGCACATGTTTACACAACCGAGAGCCAGTCTGGGAGCCAGTCTGCAACCCACACAGGAACCCATTAGGGTGTAAATAACATGTAGTAAGTGTGCACACCCTTAGGATTTCATTTTCAAGGCTATTTACAGCCCAGATCTTTTTTGGTTATGCTAGACCCGACATTCATGGTCAATGCAAGCACAAAATATCACACTGATGCGCAAGTTGCGTGTAATCTCAGTGAAACTCCCACCCCAGCCTGACACAAACACAAACATAGTATATATGTAGCTATAACTTTGTTTGGTGGTCCTGAGGGTATATAGCTAATAGCTACATCCACCAGTTTTGACTCTCATGCAGTACTGCGGTGCATGAACTGATGAACATACTAGCTACCTGATCATTACGTAGGGGCTTTTTGTGGATGTAACCACACCGATACCAGATCTAAGAAAATGTTGTAGTCTTGCTTACACCAACACATGTTGTGTCATGGGAGCATCCAGCGGCATACTCTCTGGTTGTATATACACTCCAAGTTGACACATCCAGCTGCTCCCAAACACTATTATCTTGCAGTATATACCTATTTCCCACCTTAGCTGCAATACACAGGCTGTGCAGAGTAGTTCTTTGGAAAGCCTGGGAGGTAAGCTCCTAATGTCATTACCATCAGATTATGGCAATGTAGATAGTGTGTGTGGAGGAACCCCCTCTTACAGAGGCAGACAGGCAGCTTATCTCTTCCTGCACACTAACTGGCTTCCAGATCCTATTGTAGCGCCCTATCTACCAAACTTACAAAAACAACCCCCTCCCAGTTAAAATGCTATATACCTGCAATCTGAGGATGTGGTGCACTACAAACAAACAAGGAGACGCTCTGCATGCCAAGAATGTCTTGTGTGGGGCCGTCACTACAGAGAACCTGGAGTATTATTCCAACAAGAATTCATGAAATGTATATATCTCTAGCTGGATGTTCATGCCATGAGTACTTCTCACAATACTGAAAAAATTCCCTGTAACTATTGATGACCCACTGTAGGAGGCTCAAGTGGTACTATATACCAACTATGCGTGGTACTGGGGTTAAAATTACCACATAGCGTATATACTAATATAATTATAGCAGGCACATGCTTACACAACCTTACGATAGCCCACACTATGTATAGCCAAGGTTGCAGCTATAGTCTCTCCCCAATCTGAGAATGTCAACCCACACAGGAAACCATTAGGGTGTGTATAACGTGTAGTAAGTGTGCACACCCTTAGGATTATCAACAAAATTCATTTTCAAGGCTATTTACAGCCCAGATCTTGCTTGCAGCAGACGACTGCTTGTATACACCACAGGCAATTTTTCCTCCATAGGGAGGAAGTTGTCCTCTCTTTGGGGATTAAAAATGTACCGTGATGAGCAAAAGAAAAGTGAACATCTGGGACCACAAAGGGTGTCCTTTACTGAGTTTATTCCGAGTGTCCTTTATCAGAGGTTTTACTGTTCCCTGGCAATAATTATATCCCAGACCCCAGCTGTCACCATCTCGAAAACCAACCTACAATGTTATCTGTCTGTAAGAAGAAGCTTTCCTGTCAACAAATGCTCAATCAAAAGGCATTGTACATAAACAAACTGCAAATATGCCAGTTTCCGTATTAGAGATAGGGGTGTAAAAGGTGCATGTTTCAGTATCTCTTTCTTCTCATAATCTCAGGTCTCCAAACAATTGGATGAGACTCTTCAGTCTATGGGGAAAAGACCACAATAAGAAATTGAAAGAAGTAAACAAAATGCTGCATGCTAACCGCACTCTGAAATTGCCATGAAAAAAAGAGTAACAAACAATGCTAATTCTTTCGTATGCTGACCACACTATGAAAGTAGCACCAAAAACTAGGAAAAAGGGTTGACAAACACTCTACTAACACCTCTGTATGCTAACCACAGTGAAACGTCATTACGCAAAACAACTGGAAGGTGCCGCGATGCGTGTCTCCGCTCACCGCAGTGTCGTCCTCTTTGTAAATCTTGATTGTCTTGTCGGCCTCGGCAGTGAGGAGTCTGCAACCACTCACATCAAACAGACACTTGAAGATGCCGGCCTCGCTGTCCAGCGACCCTGGCTGCACTGTGGTCTGGTGTTTCTGAAAGTTGTAGCCAGTTTTCCAGTCCCAGAAGTGAAGGCTCCCATTGTCCCCTGCAGTGCAGTGCACAAGGCAAGAACACTAGCAAGTGTGTGTACACAGTAGAAGAGCAATAAGCTGCAAGGTTATTTTCTGTCTAAAACAACTTCAACCCCATCTAAGTAAGGGTAGCTAAAGTATAAACACTCAACTCATTATCAAAGAGTCTATATACACCTGACACTGTACAAAACACACACAGATAAGTAAATATACACACAGAATTATAAATAAACCCATTAGGTCTCAAAAGTGAAGGTATATACATACAGGAAGATTTACTGTATACACCAAAAAAATCAACACATAAAACACTCCCAAACGTAACTGGAGCGATCGTGGTAAAATAACATGAACATCTTATGAGCACTCAATAATAACACTGGTAGATTATGTATGTAGCCAGTGGGTTACATTAATATCTCTGAGATCTTCTTAACTGGCGTACGTAATCCAACAGTGTCTCTATAAATATACATACAGCACTCGTGTGTGTATATATATAGTGACTTGTTTCTTGTGCTTTTGTCTTTCTATCTCGTAGTTCACACATACGTACATACCTCCAGAGACAAGGACCCCATCAGAGTTTATTGCCAGTGTGTTGACTATTGACTGGTGGCCAGTGAAGTTCTGCAAGAAATTCCCGTCGGGTAGCTTCCATATCTTTATGTTGTCTGGAGACCCGCTGGCAAAACAAAACCTGAGAAATGGAGTCTAAGATGCAACTGCAGACAGTATACAGATGTGATGAAAAAAAGATTATCTTAAGGTGGTAAATGGGAAGGCAGGTATTGACTTTGCTTTTTTGTTCTTCACTTTCGACAAGCGGACACATCGAAAACCACGTATGATATATACAGAGATGAAACTTTGCAAGATGTTAAATGCCCAAGACAGGTATACAATTTAGCCCTTATATACTGCCTCATTCCCTTTAATAGTGCAACTGTGGTGTGTTGTAGTAGTATCAGCTGACTCTGTAGGGTGCATGAAGAGGGCTGGATGCTCTTCTTGTGGTTGGTGAGGACTGCCTTCGTCTTGCCAGCTGCCAGGTCCCACAGACGAACGGTGCAGTCATGACTCCCTGTCACCACCTGTGTTCCATTTCACACAGTACATTCATGAATGAACGAGTGCTAAAACCGACCCTGCAATACCTCTAACTTCCCTTTCTTACATTACAGTCCAACTTCATACATAGATGCTGGAATAAACTAACTATCAGGGTGTTTTTAAAGGGGATAGAAAACAACTCTCGGTAGAGCTAAACTTGAACAAGTCATGCAGGTTGTGTTTGTAGAAGTGCCCTTTATTCAAAAGCATCCCTTATACTAACATACATATTAGTATAAGGCGGTATCATATACAAGTGGCATTTGCTTTGTAGAGAGGTTTACTTTTTCACTGAACATTTACAGCATATACCTGAGGATTGGGTGCTTGTGTCAGGATATCGGCCACTGTGTTGGTGTGTCCACCGAGGGTGTGGATGCAGGCTTTTGTCCGCATGTCCCACACGCGAGCCGTGGCGTCCCTGCCTCCAGTCAGGAGGATGTCGATGGTCGGGTGGAGGGACATGCAGTAGACACCACTCAGGTGACCGTGGTAGTGACGGACCACCTGAACACAACACCAAACACGACACACAGTATATAGCTACAAAACACAACAGTTGCACTACTAGTAGGCGAATGTATGGCATTTTTGGCGAGCGGGAGCGAGCACACAATGACTGTATCAGCACGAGCCATCATATCATAGCAGCGTGTAGAAGCGCGTTATCCTGACGCATGCGCAGGTAACACATGTGAAAAAAATTGGAAATGATTTCGGATAAAAAGAAGCACGTAACGAAGCCACGCATGCGCACTTACACGACGTACGGTCGGTCGTATATATATATATATAAATAGAAAAATCGCGCCGTTTGGACCAGTAGGTTAGCTCGCTCCCGCTCGCCAATTAAAGGGAATGTGGCAATATATCATAGCTACACAGTGGAAACACTCCAATCCAGGCACCAATGAAAAGTGTAGGGGTTAAATTGAACTGTTCTTGGGGGGAAAGAAAAGGTGTCCTTAGTAGTTAAGGTGTCCTCGTTTTAGGGGTTAATTTGCATGCAAGAACCTCATGTTCTTGGGCAAAGAAAAGGTATTTTTAGTTTACTCATTACAGGAGTAAGGGTTCCACAATACCAGTTAGGGCTCTTTCAATAATGTGGTACATGCAATGATAAAGTCAAGTTAGGTAAATAATGCACTGCGGTTCGTTGCGTCCGTTCTAGTGCCTGACCTTGTTGTATTCAAGGTCCCAGCACTTGACCTGTTTGTCTTCCCCGGCAGAGAAGAGGTAGGGCTGACGGTGGCTGACTGTGAGGGCCCGGACTGCACTGATGTGGCCAGTGAGGGTCAGCTTCAGTCGACCTGATGCAAGCTCCCACAACTGCAATACAAGACCCAGAGAAAGAGAGAGAGAGAGGGGGGGCGGGGCATTCACTAGGCAAGATAGCTGAACACATTAAATCTGCTTGGTCATTTTGTTGAAGCATTTTCCCTGGAATAATACAAATTTGAGGCAGTTTGCTGCCTGTTAACACTTTGAACCATATTCTATGTAATGTTAGACCGCAGTCACGCGCAATTGACCAATCAGATTACAGAATTGCGGGGGGTTTATTTTTCATAGACACCTCGTTTCAGGTGTCTAATGGCGTTTGCAGGTGGTCTACAGCAAACTCCCCGTACAAAATGGCTATTCTCAAAAGTCGTTATCTGCGCAAACCGGCCGATTCCGCGTTCGGTATATGTAAGCGTAGAAGGCGCGACTGGCAAAGTAGCTCTTTTAAAATGCGTAGTGCACCTGCAAGAAGTCTGTGGACAGTCTCCGGAGCTCGCGAAAGTCAGAAATCACGTCAATATTCCACGAAAAAGCGTCGGCTTCTTCAGCTCTGGCGATACACAAACACATTGGGCCGTTGCCGTGCGTTGCTAACCCTTTCAAACGCGCACCACCAATGAGGGCGTTTTATGATGACGTAAACGAATTTTTTTGTAGGCATGGAGTAAAAAGACCTGTTTTTTTCTCGGAAATATTTCTTTTTCCTAATGGTTTCACTCACTTTTTAAGGGGCCATGGGGGAAAGGGGAAAATAAAACCACGCCCACACACACCTTGATGGTTCTATCGCTGGATCCAGTGGCAAACCACTCGTTCCCTGGCTCCATGGCGATGCATCGTACTCAGCCGAGATGGCCGCTGAGGACCCTCATCAGTTTCCACGGAGGGTGCCACTCTGGCCGCACCGTCTGGAGCGCCCGGCGGGGGACCAGCTGCTGAGTCCCCTTGCTCAGGACCAGGGTCTGGGGATTGGGGGGGACAAGCATGGAGCAGGGAGAGAGATGAAGACCAATTAGTTTAGGGGTGTTTTGGAACCATTTTTTACACTACTGAGTGTATAGATGCACATTGCTTGCAGTAATCACGTCATTTGAGAGCTGTTTCTAGTTCCTCATTGCTACATAGGGACAATTAAAAGTAGACCATCACACAAGTTGTTTTGTATAATATACTTGTGAAGGAAGGCCAATTCGATCCTTTCCAGCATGTTCATAGATGTCTCCCAACACTGGCACCAGTAGGACTGTATGGTATAGCACACAGAGAGAGAGAGGACATTACGTCCGAACTTATTCTCTTGGTCGACCCGAATAATAGTGGGTAATAAGCGGAGCGCGCGAGCGCTCTTAGCTAGCTAGCTACGTCTCTGCCGGCACGTGACCAAGTCGTAACGACGCGAAGGCGCCGGCGCTAAGCGGCTGCGCTCGCTCGCTCCGGCCAGCTTACATCTGGGCGCTTTTACGCATGCGCACCGAGGTTGCGTAATAAAAGAGCGCCGAATTTTATTTTACTGAAGAGAACTTGCAACCCACCAGCCTAAAGAGGAAACAATACTCAATGGCAGTAAACATCGTCGCCGTTTTGCCTTGCGCAGGAGCAATTGTAAGTTGACAGCCTTCTTGGTTTACTTCGCGCGCGCATGCGATTGCGCATCTTGCAGGGACTTGCAGTTGTCCTTCTCATGGTGTCTGCCGCGACCATCGGACTAATTAACAGCATTGACAGCATTCGGTTTATTCGGGATTACGATGGTAGCTAGCTACGTACCCCATCCGATCACCAACGGTATACCAAGTTGCACAATTTGCAGGTCCAACGACAGGTGCACTTGCAGCCCAGAGGGCGCTCATTCTCGCCACGCAAGATTCTGCGGGCTGGCTCATTGCAAAGAGTATCATCATCGTTATCGCGGAGGTCGCCACCATCGTCCTTATTATTGGAATTATCATAAATCTCCAGCCAAAAGTAAAACTTATCGTTGAGATTCTGGTAATACACAAATGGTTTTTTCATCATTTTCATTCAGATATGTATATCTATTTACAATACAGGAGGTTATCTTCAGTGTTTGTGTGATTCTCTCCTACTTTGGAACTGGAATTGCCTGTGCCGTGTGTATGCTGCTGAGTGGGGCTCGTTTTGCGATGATAATTATGCAGGAGATACTTGTGCAACAATCCCTCTTGCTGCAACAACTGCACTGCAAGCTGTAAGTTTGTGCGGGATCTAGTTATTCCCCGCGGCTATGAGTTGTGGAGCAGACACGCTATGCCTCGTAAAGTCTGCAAGTGGGACACTTTGCATTCAAATTTATACATTTCTGGAATTTCTAGGTATTTTGCTTCATCCAAATCGGAGTGTTTGGAGTCATTGTTGTGTTGACAATATTTGGAATCGTGAGGAGCAGATCTGAGTAAAAAGCCTGAAGAATATGCCAAAGAGAGACTAGAACTGTAGGATTTTCTTAGCTACAGAACTTCATGCTAGATTTTGATCCTGAATCATTATTAGCCTGTATGAAAGCAGTATAGAAATGTTGGTAACATCATATTTTTTAATCAGCACAAGCTAAAAAATCTTCACCTAATATAATATACATATAGCTATACTAATGCAATATGTGCTTATATTATGGAACTCGCACACACTGTTTTATGGGTGAGAAACTGCTCCAGGTGATGCAAACAGGCCTGCACGTATAATACTTTTGAAAGGCACTGCATTAAGACATACAATTCAGCTGCACTAACTGCTGTGTATCGTCAGCTTTACTATTCATTTTTTGACTCTGTGCCCAGGCAATGTGCTCCCAACTATTATACTAGCAGGGATTACACTCATCTTGTATCTTTGCTAATAATCTGGCCCAACCTGTGTGAAAGCAATGTCCGTTTCAGTATGAGAGCCAGGGAATTAAGAGTAAGAGCCACATTTTATTTGTGAATGAAAAAATAACATTAGTGAAACACTGCTTCAAACTGCAGCTCTTATACAAACATCAGTCCACCCACCACCGCCTCATTTTCTCTGTAAATTGAAGGGCCCTGCAGTAAGCAATGTATATACCAGAAAGAATAACATAGCAAAAACCATGCATTAATGCAGCTAGGAACAATCTGTGTATATAGGGCTCATTTTACCAACAACGTGGGCACAAAAGCACCCAACTTCGAGACATTTGCATTTCATTTGGCTGTACATATTGGGCAATGTGTCTATTTTACAGACAAGGACCTCAGAGTTAATCTACTGCATATTGACTAGAGTAGAGTTCGGCATGCCAATCTGGCAGCTTCACCTTGCGTGTAGCCAGAAAAATGTGAGGACACCTTCAATATTTTTGCACCTGAGCCCTCTCTTGTTGAAAACACCCGTCCTCTGGTTGATGTTATCCTGCAGACTGCCTGGCAAAAACGTGTGATAGCTATGATGCTTATCTCACACTAATGACTATATAGGACTTAGGCTTCTTAGGGTGACTGGGGGCTGTCGAGAGCCGCGGTAATTTTTGCGCATGCATAATTATTGTAGTTTGCAGCGAGGGGAATCTACTGAGCCTCGCCTTCCTATCCGAGTAGTGAAAGGGTTTTTAGCCTGCTGCCAATGTCACCAGCTGTCGTACGAACAATCGGTAGATAAAAGTTGTTGCAATACTGTACAGTGACACAGTTCCCACAGCTTGACGACCGAACATGCGTGACAAAAAGTGCGCGCATCTAACGCTGGCGTCTTATAGCGTACGGAGCATGCGCGCGTGGAGGAGGCAGAAGAGGCCGGCCTGGTTTCGAGTCTAGTCACACGCGCCAACACGCCTGCGCTGTGATACGCATGCGCGGAAAATTGTGGAGGGGTCCACGTACGTCCCGTCGTCGTGTGCGCGCAAGATAAAGAGCGCCGAACTATGTTCTTTTTTCAGAACTTGCAGCAGGCAAAAGAGAAAAAAAGTCGATGGCAGTAAACATCGTCGCTCTTTTGCCCCGTACGGGAGCAATTGTAAGTTAGCTAGCTTTTACTTTGTTCGCGCGCGGGATTGCGACATCTCTTGTATATAGGTACTAGCAGTTGTTCTCCTTATTGTGTCTGCCGCCACCATTGGAGTCATTAACAACAATGAAGGACTTCGGAATGTTCGGGATTATGATGGTACGTAGCTATATACCTACGCCATTCGCTGATCTGCTTTTGCACATTTTACAGGTCCAACGACAGGCAATACTCTTATTGAGGATGTTGTGGAGCTCCAGGGACTCATTGTTTTAACGCAAGATTCTGCAGCCTGGCTTATTGTAATGACTATCGGCATCGTGATCGCGGAAGCCATCGCCATCGTCCTAATTATCATAGATCTCCAGGGGAATGGGAAACTTATCGTTGGAATCCTGGTATAGCTAGCTACGGTATTACGAAGCGTCATGTCATTCGTATTTCTGTTCGCCATGCAGGAGATAATCTTCAGCGTTCTGGTGATTCTGTCCTACTTCCCAACTGGAATTGCCTCCGCCGCGTATATATGCCGCAGCGTGGGGCGCTCCACCGCCGGACGCATGCGAATTTTCGGAAGACATCCCGGACAATCCGTGCGATAGGAAGCCACTCACTGCAACCACTGCACTGCAAGCTGTAAATTTGTAACATTTAGCGGAGTAATCCCCCGCGGCTGGTGGAGGGTCCGCGAAACGAATACGCTGCATGGCCCGCCGTAATAATGCTGGCGTCGCTAAACCGCAGACCCGCTGAAAATTAGCTTCTGCTGAAAGAAAAGGGTTTTACCGACAGTTCCATCTCCAAGGAAGGGAGCTCAAGAACCACGTTTGGCATGCTATACAGCATTCTTACAACTTGCATTCAAGATTTATATTGTTTCTGGAATTTTTCTAGGTATTTTGCTTCATCCAAATCGGAGTGTTTGGAGTGATTGTTGTGTTGACAATATTTGGAATCACGAGGAGCAGATCTGAGTCAAAAGCCTGAGTCAAAAGCCTGAGGAAAACGCCGAAGAGACCAGAAGACTGACTATATTATATAGGTTTAGGGTTTGATTATTAGGCTGTATGAAAGCGTGTATAGAAACTAGTTTTTTGTTATAAATGCTAGACCCGACATTCATGGTCAATGCAAGCAAAAAAAATCAGCTAAAAATACTGATGCGCTAGCTCGCGCCTTTCGCGGGAAAAACGGCGCGCGCTGGCGTGAATGCGCTTGCGCAGGGAAAAATTAGCAGGTGGGTATTCCTAGAGGAGCACACTGGACTGGACTCCTACACAGAGAAAGTGCTCTCTGGAGAATTTGATGGTCAAAGAAAAGACCTTTCCAACGAAACCATGAAACAAGACTTGCAAATAACCTTGAGATAGCAGCAAGTCAGTTGGTTAAAGTTATGGGATGCAATGCTTGACGAGGGACTTCATGGAACGGTTAGGTTGCAATCCTTGTACAAAGCGATAACATGGCCCAAAGTAGGCAACATCTCGGTGTGCCCAGTCTGTGAATGGGAAAGCAATACCCACCTGCTCCCACATCTACTAGAAATCCATCTACAACTAAGGGAAGAGGAGATCATTACAGTAGTCGTTCTGTCATTCTGTCTGTCTGTCTGTCCGCGCGAGTTCTCGCACTACAGGCTACAAGGCGGCCAATGAGTGGCACCAACTGGTTGTGAACAACGAGAAGATGGATATTAATGTGGCGATTTTCCTGAAACGACTGCGTTCCAGAGATATGGCGTGAAAACAGCGAAAAAGCCAACGCGCAGTCGATCGCGCACGCGCCCTCTCCTGCAGGCTAGCTATATAGCGCGCAGGCGTCATGTCAATTAATCGCCGGAGCA